CACTCTCCCCACCTTCCAGATGTCTGGGATGATGAGAGTGGCCATTGACAAATTGAGGACCTCCGTTAGGTACGCTACCCCCGCAGGACCCAAATTTTTCAGCATCAGCATGCATATACCGTCGGGACCCATGGCTTTGGAGGCTTTCGCCTTCCCGATGGCCACCTGAACTTCACCGCAAGTGAAAGCAAGGGGGGCACAATTTGTTGGCAGTTTGTGCAGCCTTCTGGTCACTCGACGCTTGGCTTTGTCCACCGGAGGATGCAGTATGAACTGCCGGCTAAAATAGCTCGCGCATCGCTCCGGGTCCGACGAAGCATAGTCGCCGAAGGAAATTTCGACTCTGTCGTCGTGCTTCGTCGGATTAGACAATGACCTCACGGTTGACCAAAGCTTGCTCACACCAGAGGTGAAGTTGCAAGTCTTCAGATGCTCCTCCCACTTCTTCCGCTTATGTACGTTTACAAGTTGCCGAATCTCCGCGTTGAGATCCCTGATACGGGGATCTCCGGGATCGGCCTGACGAAGGCTATCACGCTCGTTTGCTAAAACAGCCGCTTCGGCAGGGAAGTTTGGACGTGGGTCCGATATGCACCCTGCCGGTATGAAGCGGGCTGCAGCAGCAGTGATAGCCCTGCGGAACTTACGTTCACCGAGGTGGACGTCGGTTGGTGTGGGGAGCGATGTGAAGGTGTTTTCAGTAAACTCCGCGTAACCTTTCCAGTCAGCTTTAGAAAAGTTGACATAGGTCCGGTGTTTGGCGGAGGCAAAGTCGGTTGGTTTATCAATCGAGATGACTATGGGTAGATGGTCTGATGCTAGAGTCAGCATAGGTCGCCACGTTATGCTGTTTATCAGACCAGCGCTGACTATTGTGATGTCTGGCGAGCTACTGCAGTTACCCATAATCCTGGTGGGTGCGTCGTCGTTCATTGTGCAGAATGTCGAATCGTCTATCTGCTCAGCCAAGTCTGTTCCCCTACGATCGTTTGACAGGCTTGAGTGCCAAAGATCGTGGTGCGCATTAAAGTCACCTACTACCATACGGTTTTCACCTCTGAGGAGCGCACCTATATCAGGGTGATATCCTGCCGGGCAGCAGGTGACAGGGGGTATGTATATATTAAATATTTCGAGCTCGACATCGCCTGACCGGATAGCGATGCCCTGACATTCTAGGGTGGTATACCTGCGGTCGATGTCTGCTTCGATAAGACGATACTGCACGGTGTGGTGCGTGATGAACGCTAAGCCACCACCATTATCTCGCTCGCGATCTCGACGGTGCACGTTGTACCCGGCACAATTCAACAAAGTTGAATTGCTGTGCAACTTCGTCTCTTGGACCGCAGCTATTAATATACCATGCCGACACATAAAGGCGGTTATCTCCTCAATCTTGCTCTGTAGCCCGTTACAGTTGAATTGGAGGAGCTTCATGTGGTTCGGGAGACGTGTTGTGATGTGGGGTGTGAGTGAGGTGTAAGTTCTTGCCGCCGTTGGCTGTGTGTGCTGCTGGGATGATTGCCTCCCTGTGGTGGTATTGGGAGGCGTCGCAATTGATGCCAGCGACCGGGCAGCGCAACACGGGCCCTCGAAGTTCCCCGTCCAATCTCGCGTGGTGCGCAGACCTGAACATGCCCTAAAGTGGCACCAGCCAAGGCAGGTGTTGCACTTGACTGATGTCACATTACGGAATATTCTGGTCTGACATACCGTGCAGATTGTAGGGGGAACCAAGAGTTGTTGGCGGCGGCGTGTGGGTGGTGGTGCTGTTGTGTGTGTTATGTGGTCTGTGGTGGCTGTGGTATGTTGTTGTGTTGTGGCGACTGTGTGTGGTTGCTGTGTGAGTGTGTGGGGCTGCACGGGCGGACTATGGGTTGCCGTGGAGGCTGCTCTATTTGAGCAACAGGGGGCCACGTACGACGTGGTCCACTGTCTGTGAGTCCGTAGTCCCGAGCAGACCCTGAGGTGACTCCACCCCTCGCAGGCATTACACTTGACTGAGGTGGAGTTGTGGTGTAAACGTCTTCGGCATACACAGCAGGTGTATATTTCTGGCCCAGGGTTTGACTCGATGCCAGCCCTGAGTAGGAGAATGCGTAGTGAATGCTGCCCTATGGACGGACAACTTCTGAGATACTTCGCCGACCTAAACGGGGTTAGATCGCCGAAACAACAGCCCTTGGTCGGGTGAAACCCGAGTCATTCCGGTACGTAGAACCGGCTGTCGTGGGAATGGACGGGGGTCTGTAATGCATCCTGCTGGTATGAAGCGAGCTGCAGCAGCAGTGACAACCAGTGTTGCCACTGAAAATGTCTCCCCCGTCCAAATTTCAGACCAAATCGAACAAAAACCGCCATAAAAAATTGCTTTTTTTCAATAACCAACTCAACTTTTATGATGTCGGACGTGACATTCGTCCGCCTTAAGATTTAATGAAATCATACGAAAACGGGTCACTTATAAAAAAAATTTGGCGTTGTGTAGCTTTTATATCGTTCTGTGGGTGACAAAAAAATTAGGTACGGTTGGAACACTGGTGTCGGAAAAATCAATGAAAAGGAGGTCACAACGGACGTGGTAAAAAAAGACGTGGCTTCAAAGTACATGTAAAAACAAGTAAAAGGGTGCGAATTCTGTGAGGTTTTTTTTCTTAAATATTCTTTAAATAAAGTCAAATTACGGACCATTACAACGAATTCATATTTAATTAGAATCAATTAAAAATTGATAACGGACGTGGCATATCGGACGTGACTGATTTTTGCCCCATACAATATTTTTACTAGTAATAAATATATAATTTAATTTTTTATTTGATGTTTTCAGTTCTTCTCTCTGCTGTTTTGCGTTTTTCTAACTTCCTTTCGCCATCTGAATACGAAATTTAAAGTTTTAAAGTCGTTTAAACCCGGTTGCTTGCATTTTCTGTTTACATTTTCATGGAAACACCCATATGCAGTTGTGCATATGTAGGCACATACATATATGAGATGTGTGTATAATATACACTGTATATACTTAAAAATTCTTTCGCATTGTAGCAAATCACATTGTTTCATTAACATAAAAATTCAATTCACAAGTAGCACTTAAATGTAAGTATGCATGAATTACGAAATTAATATTAATAATAATAGATTGGCGCTTACACATACGTTAGTGTTTGGCCGAGCTTCTCATCCGATTTGTGGCGTGCGCCTTGATGTTGTCACACAAAGGGGGGGACCTACAGTTTTACGCCGACTCGGAATGGCGATAGTATTTTTATGAGATGCTGTTTTTCATGGCAGGAATATTAGAAAAAATACCGTTTTAGTTTTTTTTTTTGATGTTAATATAATTAAAACATTGTTTTTGTTTAAAACAACCATAAATGCAAAAGGAATACAAAATTATTACAAACTAGTTAAAATCTTACCTCACATAGGGGGAACTTTTTATATTGACGGGCTTTCTACAAAGATGTTCATGTGGACGGATGTGCGTTATGTTTTTGATAGTTGTGAACACCTACTTGGACCTGCGATTCATTAACAGTATGGTAATTTTATGTACATACGAAAAATACCTCAAATTTGTAGGCACAATAAATTTTTTCCACAAAAAATATTCATACGTATTACAAAACCGGCCAACCAGCCAAAGTAAATTAATCCGACCAGATTTGGCCGGAAACGCCCAACTTTGGTGACAACCCTGCGGAACTTACGGGTATATAAACGTTAAATATTTCTAGCTCGACATCGCCTGAACGGATAGCAATGCCCTGACATTCTAGGGTGGTATCCCTGCAGTCGATGTCTGCTTCAATATGACGATACTGCACGGTGTGGTGCGTGATGAACGCTAAGCCACCACCATTATCTCGCTCGCGACCTCGACGGTGCACGTTGTATCCGGCACAATTTAACAATGTGGAATTGCTGTGCAACTTCGTCTCTTGGACCGCAGCTATCAATATACCATGCCTCCTATGAAGACGGTTATCTCCTCGATATTGCTCTGAAGTCCGTTACAGTTAGATTGAAGGAGCTTCATGTGGTTCGGGAGACGTGTTGTTATGCGGGTTGTAAGGGATATGTGTTGCCTTGCCGCCATTGGCTGTGTGCGCTGCTGTGGAGGATGCCGCCCTGTGGTGGTGCTGGTGGGTGGCGTCGCAATTGGGTTTGCGACCGAGCAGCGAGCGCAACATGGGCCCTCGAAGTTCCTCGTCCACTCTCGCGTGGTGCGCAGACCTGAACATGCCCTAAAGTGGCACCAGCCAAGGCAGGTGTTGCACTTGACTGATATCACTTTACGGAATATCCTGGTCTGACATACCGTGCAGATTGTAAGAGGATCCTGGAGTTGTTGGCGGCGGCGTTTGGGTGGTGGTGCAGTTGTGTCTGTTGTATGGTCTGTCGTGGTTGTGGTGTGGTCTATTGTGTTGTGATGCTGTGGTGTTTGTGTTGAGCTGCTCAGGCGAACTGGGGTTAGCCGTGTAGGCTGCTCTGTTTGAGCTGCAGGGGGCCAGAAATGATGTGGTCCACTGCCGATGAGTCCGTAGGCCTGAGCAGACTCTGAGGTGACCCGTCGCAAGCATTGCACTTTACTGAGACTCTGGCATACACAGCAGGTGTAAGTTTCTGGCCCTGGGTTTCACTCGATGCCAGCCCTGAAGAATACGTAGCAAATGTAGCCCTATGGACGAACAACGTCTGAGATACTTCGCCAACCTAAAGGGGGTAGATCGCCGAAACAACAGCCCTTGGTCGGGTAAAACCCGAGTTATTCCTGTACGTATAACCGGCTGTCGTGGGAATGACAACAATATGCATCTATTCGCTTAGTGTTGTTAGTCATGCCTAAACTCAAATAAATAAATATGCTCTTTGTTTATCGGTGCGATTCACATTAAAATAATAAAATAATCTTGAAATAAATAGAACGGGAGGACGAATATTGCCCATGCTGCTTTTCTTGTTAATACAAATAAATTTATTATATTTTTTAGACCACAATAGAGATGACAAAAGATTATGACTACCTATTGAAGGTTCTTCTGGTTGGAGATAGTGATGTTGGCAAGCACGAAATATTATCTTGTCTTGAAGATGCATCGTCCGACAGCCCGTTCTGCAGTGGAAACGGTAATTGGATTGACAAATTAAACGATAAAATTTTGAACAATCTGAAACTTTTAGCTTATAAAACCACAACTATTCTTCTGGAGGGCAAGCGTGTTAAATTGCAAATATGGGATACTTCTGGACAAGGCCGATTTTGTACAATCATAAGATCATATTCTAGAGGTGCACAAGGAATTATATTAGTTTATGACATTACGAATAAATGGAGTTTCGACGGGATTGGCCGCTGGTTAAAGGAGGTAGAAGAGGTAATGAGTGAAAATCTATAAGTACAATATAATACGGTGTAAAACTGATTATTAATTTTGAAGTTAACTAGTCCTATAAGTGTAGTATGATTCATGCTGAATATATTTTTATTTTTTGTTATGTTCCCTCATAACTTTGAACCACATCATCTGTTTTCTATAATTCCTTTTTTTAAGGTGGTACCGCAGAGGTGGTCCTTTACTAATTTGGTTTACTCTCAAATTTTTATATGAGAATTTAAATCGTTATTGTCATTTGCGAAGTGAATAAATTTGGCGGAGCGAATGGTTTGGCGAACGCAACTAAAATATGCATTAACAGGTCTATTCTGCACGTTACCGAAGATTTTGAAACCGGAAAATTTTATTACCAAAAAATGTTACCAGTTCTTGTCACCGCAATTCTAGGTACGTAGGTAATGCAGTTAAAATATTCAGCAATTCTGTTAAGAGGAATTGTGGAAATTCTGCCATTGCATATTTCACGAGGCAATATTTAGTTACCAGCTTATGAGATGGTAACAAAATTTACCGGTTGCAAGAGTATACAGAATGCGAAAAGGGTTTAAAATTGACAGGAACTTGATTTACCGGTTACAAAATATTTATTACCAGCGCAGAATAGACCTGCATCGCGAACACTCTTAATGCCTTCTCTGCCTCTTAATTCACTTCGCCAAACCGTTCGCTTCAACAAATTCGATTTTTGCAAAAATCCAATCACTCATTTTATTGTGAAATCTGTACAAAAGTGCGCCGCAAATCTTTTCGTGCACTGTCTAAACCTCTGGTACCAACAAAATCAGTAACGGAATCTGTAAATTCTCTTGCTGCTGCTGCTAATCAACCAAAGCAACAGTCGCAGAATGCGAACTCAACTGGTGTATTGCCAAAACATAAACAACAATCGCAGAGTTTGGATACGATACAATACAAAAACCTCGATCACCCGAAAGCTACTGTATTGGAGTCAATGCTCAAGTCTGTGCTTGATGAAGTCGTTGGTCTTAGAGCAGAGAATGTGCGAATGTTCTCTCTGCTGCAAATATTGTACGATGATAAAAACATCTTGTTAAAGAAAGTAGATAATCTCCAAGCTGAGCTGGGCTCTTTGATGAGTATACTACTCAATAAAAACTGCACTCTTGCTGTAGACGCTGCTGATATTGAAAATATCCTTCCTGCTGCTTCAGACATATATACAAATGCTGCTACCATTGCCGTTGACGCCGCTGTTGAAGTTGTGAGTGAAACCGCCGCTGACGCTGCTGCTGCCGTTGACACCATTCTCTCTTTTGCTTCTTCTACTAGCAATGCCGCTCTACCTACAACTAATATGCTCTATTCCCATGTCGCTGGCAAAATTACTGCTGCTAATACTAACGCTGAGACTGTGACTGGTACTGCACCTGCTCTCAACCGTTCTCAGTCTACATCTACTATCGCATTGAAAGCTCAGTTGCCTGCAGTTGGTGTTTGCTCAAAAGATAGGAATACTGTGTAACAAAATAAATTACCCAAGCGTCGTATTTTAGTTGTTGGAAATAATAATAATGATAATGCCGAACTTGATGTTGTTTTCAAAAAGAAGTGGGTGCATGTATCGGCTTTTAAGCCAACCGTGACTGCTGATAGTATCATTGCTTATGTATCAAAAAATTCTGGCGTCGATAGCAAACATCTTGCATGTTTCAAACTTGTAAAGAAAGGTTCATCTCTCGATAACATTCGCAGTGTAAATTTTAAATTTGGAGTTTTGCCGTCATCTTATGGAAGATTTTGAATCCTAATGTATGGCCTTCGGGAACTAGTATTCGCCCGTTTAAATTTTTTCAGAGGGAAGGTACCACTGACCCGACCAAATAGCTCTCTAGATATAAATTGCAAATCTCGTAATCTCAAAATCTATTTCCAAAATATGTCTGGAATGCGCACTAAAACGAAGGAGGTATACTTAGCGACCTCGCGAGCTGAATATGATATTTATGTATTTGTTGAAACCTGGCTTAACTCGGACTTCTTTGATGAAGAATATTTTAATCCAAATTTATCGAAAGGATAGAGACGCTATATAAACTGGTCATCGTAAGGGTGGTGGTGTTTTAATTGCCGTTAAAAGCCGTTTACGTTCTTCAATTATACAACTATTGGATGGCGACTCTCTTATTGATCAACTGTGTGTGTGTATTTTTGGCCTTGCTCGTAAATTACTGATATGTGTGTCTTATATCCCACCAATTAGTACGGATGATCTGTATAGCTGTCATGTTAATAATATAATGCATCTTGTTGAGCATAATGAAAATTGTAATTTCTGCTTCTTAGGTGATTTTAATCTCACTGATTTGAAATGGTCCTATTTGCAAAACAATGATATTTTAACTCCAACAAATATTAATAGAGCTCATGAAATTTATCCTATAGATAGTCTTTTTAGTTTTAATCTCTTCAAATCAATAAATTTTTTAATAAATTAAATAAAATTTTAAATCTAATTTTTGTTGATAAAAACTTTATATTTAGTTTGAATGAATGTGGTTTTCCAATTAGCGCTACTGATAAACATCATATGCCTCTCATCGTAACTAGAATTCTACAATATTTTTTCTATTGAAGTTAGAAATCGTGACTCTTTCGACTTTCGTGGTGCCGATTTTAATGAATTAAATGCTGCTATTTCTGAGGTAAACTGGAAGACTATTCTGAATTCACAAGATGTCTCTTTGTGCTTTGAATCTTTTCTACATAAATTGACTGAATTATTCACTAATAAACTTTCACCTCTACCGCCTCGACTTCATAAACTCCCGTGGTATACTAAAAATCTTAAAGCTTTAAAAAACAAAAGGAATAAATACTACAAGCTGTATAAGGAACGCAACATCATTAGCTTTAAAGATAAATACACCTATTATATGAAGCAATTTAACGTCTTAGACAAATTTCTATATAATAAATATGTAAATAGATTTGAGTCTGAGCTGAAAGTAAACCCCAAGGCCTTTTGGAACTATATTCGCTCTAAAAGAGGTGGGTCCAACATTCCAACTTGTATGCATTTTAATGGGAAGAGCTCTCAGTCTCTTACAGATTCTGTCAATTCTTTTTGCAGAGTTTTTCAAATAGAATTTCGTTTCAGTTGACGAGTCTGTTAATACTTCCGTAAATTTCCCTCTTCATTCTTTCTTAGATTTTGGGTCTCTAACCTTAACTGAGTTAGATATCTCGAATGGTATTTCCTGTCTTAAATCTTCTATGAAAAGTGATAATGATGGTCTTTCTTCATATTTTTTAAAGCAATGCGTCTCATCCATCTGTGCCCCATTATGCATAATTTTTAATCTTTCTCTCTCATTCTTCTTTTTTGGCGCTGTAACCGCCTAAGCGATTTTGGCCGAGTTCAGCAAAGCACGCCAGTCGTTTCTCCTCTGTGCCAACTGACGCCAATTGGAAACGCCAAGTGAAGCCAAGTCCTTCTCCACCTGATCTTTCCATCGCAGTGGGGGCCTCCCTCTTCCTCTGCTACCACCAGCGGGTTCCGAGTTGAATACTTTCAGAGCTGGAGCGTCGGTGTCCATTCGAACGACATGACCAAGCCAGCGGAGCCGCTGTATTTTAATTCGCTGCACTGTGTCGATATCGTTGTAAAGCTCATACAGCTCATCGTTCCATCGTCTGCGGTACTCGCCGTCGCCAATGCGTACATCTTCCGCAAAATCTTTCTCTCGAACACTCCAAGAGCCGCCTCATCGGATGTTGTCATTGTCCATGCTTCTGCGCCATATACCAGCACGGGCATGATGAGTGACTTATAGAGCGTGGTTTTCGTAGTTCGAGAGAGGACTTTACTCCTGAATTGCCAACTCAGTCCAAAGTAGCACTTGTTGGCAAGAGTGATTCTACGTTGGATTTCAATGCTGACATTATTATCGGTGTTAATGCTGGTTCCCAAGTAAACGAAATTCTCTATTTTCTCGAAATTGTAACTGTCAACAGTGACGTGGGTGCCAGGGCGCGAGTGTGCTGACTGTTTGTTTGATGACAGGAGATACTTCGTCTTGTCCTCGTTTACCACCAGACCCATTCGCTTTACTTCCCTATCCAACTTGGAAAAGGCAGAACAGACTTCGCTGTTACCGATGATGTCGATGTCGTCGGCATAAGCCAGCAATTGCACGCTCTTGTAGTAAATTGTTCCTGAGCGGTTCAGTTCTGCAGCTCTTATTATCTTCACCAACATCAGATTAAAGAAGTCACATGAAAGGGAGTCGCCCTGTCTGAAACCCCGTTTGGTGGCGAACGGCTCGGAGAGGTATTTCCCAATTCCGACCGAGCTGGTTGTATTGCTCAACGTCATTTTACACAGCCGTATGAGTTTTGAGGGGATGCCAAAATTCGGACATAGCGGCGTATAGGCAACTCGTTTTAGTGCTGTGAAAAGCGGCTGAGTGTCGATCCTTTTCTCTCGAGTCTTTTCCAAGATTTGGGGTATTGTGAATACCTGGTCTATGGTGGATTTTCCAGGTCTAAAGCCACACTGATAAGGCCCAAACAGTTTATTGACGGTGGGCTTCAGTCTTTCACATAATACGCTCGGTAAGACCTTGTTGGCGCGAATGGCGGGGTCACCTTTCTTGTGGATTGGGCAGAGCACACTTAAATTCCAGTCGTCGGGCATGCGTTCATCTGACCATATTCTGCACAAGAGTTGATGCATGCACCTTATCAACTCCTCGCCGCCGTACTTGAATAGCTCAGCTGGCAGGCTGCCAGCTCCAGCGGCTTTGTTGTTTTTCAGCCGCGTTATTGCTATACGTACCTCGTCATAGTCAGGCGGTGGAACGTCGACTCCGTCATCATCGACTGCGGGCTCGGGTTCTTCTTCTCCACAACTTTCTGTGCTGCTACCATTTAGTAGGGCGGAAAAGTGTTCCCTCCATAATTTAAGTACGCTCTGGACATCAGTTACTAGGTCGCCATTATTGTTCTTACAGGAGTGCGCCCCGGTCTTTAAACCTTCCGTAAGTCGCCTAACTCTCTGGTAAAATTTTCGGGCATTCCTCCTGTCGGCCAGCATTTCAAGATCTTCGCACTCACGTATTTCGGCCTCTCTCTTCTTATTGCGATAAATACGTCTCGCTTCCCT